CTCTTGGAAAGCGCGAAAACGCCACTTGAGGGGCTTGACCCATCAAGTGAACCATGCTGATATCTGAGGACCCTAGTCTCCGATACCGAACTTTACGTTCACAGCCGAACACTACCGGGGGGTGGCATACCCCCATGATGACCCGCTAGTAATCATCACGGGAATCGCAAACCACAACGTCTAGCGATCCTTCGTCGACGGCGGAAGTAGAGCGAATATTCTCTTTAGGAAGGCATATGATCAGCTGAAACTGCAGACCAAAGACCTGACTCCAGTACCCTACCTGGTATCCCGATTCAATGGGTCCGCAATATATCCAGATGGGAAAATCACCCTTCCTGTCACCATCGGCACAGACCAAGCAGCCCGGAACATCATGGCCGAATTTTCGGACATGGACGTTCCGTTTGTATACAACGTGATTATGGGGAAACCCATAATTCACGAGATCTAAGGAGTAGTCTCTACGTACCATCAAATGATGATATACGTTTCGGATAAGGGACACTCCGAAAGAATTTAGGGCGGCCAAAAGGAGGCCCGAAGATGCAACTACCTCAAACTATCCAAAAGTCGTCACGACGACAAGGATGATGAGAAAGATGAAAGAGAAAAAGAACGATGCACAAAGAAGCCTGAAGGCTTGAGTGCTTCGGCCCAAGGCGCCCCAGCATGAGAAAATTCTTTGGGAAGGAAAAATCTGGTTCCTCATCTAAGCCAAAAGACTCAGAGCACCAGCCGAAGTCTGGGAAGCCTACTGATATTGACAGCAGGCCAGATTATGAAGAGTACAGTTCTAATGCAATGGAGCTGGACCGACAGACTGAGTCAATAGAGTTGACAGAGGGAGACCCTGAAAAATGTGTCAGCATCGGGCTCGGACTCCATCCGAACGTCCATGATGAGCTTATCCAACTCCTTCGAGACAACAAAAATGTGTTCGTTTTCTCGGCATCAGACATGTTCGGGATTGATCCGAACCTCATCTCTCACAAGCTTAATGTCGACCCCACTTGTCGATCGGTTAAGCAAAAGAAGCGAAATTACTCCGCAAATAAGAACCGAGACATCGCAGCCTAAGTAAAAAAACTCTTGGATGCAAGTTTCATTGAACCCTGTTAGTATCCGGAATGGCTGACCAATGTGGTGATGGTTTAAAAGGCAAATGACAATTGCAGAATGTGCGTTGACTTCACGGATCAAAATAGGGCCTGTCCAAAGGACATTTATCTCTTGCCGATGATCGATCAACTAGTCGACTCGACTAGTAGGCATTCCCTGCTTAGTTTCATGGACGCATTCTCGAGGTATCCTCATATCTTCATGCACCCTGATGACCGAGCAAAAACGACCTTCGTTACGAATGTCGGGGTGTATAATTACGAAATGATGCCTTTCGGATTGAAAAATGCGGGGGCAAAATATCAAAGGTTGGTTGATCAGGTCTTCGCCGAGCAAAAATGCCGCAATATGGAAGTCTATGTTGACGACTCAATCGTCAAAAGCAAAGAGGACAAAGACCATGTCGCGAACCTGGCCGAGACCTTCGCCACCCTAAGGAAACATCAAATAAATCTGAATCCGAAGAAGTGTGTCTTCGGCGTGAAGTCAGGCAAGTTTATCGGCTTTATGGTCAGTAAAAGGGGGATTGATGCCAATCCCGCCAATGTGCAGGCGGCGCTCGACCTTCCTGAACCAAAAATAAAGAGGGACATTTAGCGTCTCACCGGTAGAATGACTGCCCTTTCCAAGTTCATCTCCAGAGCCTCGGAAAAAGGGTTGCCTTTCTTCATAGCGTTGAAAATCCCAAAAACCAAGGAGCTCCTCTGGGAAGACGAGCAAAAAGAAGCCTTCAAGCAACTCCGTACGCATCTGGCTCAACTCCCAACACTAGCACGCCTAGCCGAAGGAGAATCTCTGTACTTATATGTGGTAGTTAGCCCGACCACTATAAGCGCGGTCTTGCTGAGGGAAGAAGAAAAATTCCAGCAACCAACCTACTTCGTTAGTCACACTCTGACAGATGCCGAGACTTGCTACCCCCTACTCGAGAAATTTGCATATGCAGTGGTGGTAGCCGCTAAAAAATTGAGGCCCTATTTTGACTGCCATTAAATAGTGGTCTTGACTGGTCAGCCGCTGGAAAAAGTCCTCAGCAAGGTTGAAAAATCTGGTAGGCTAGTAACGTGGGCCTTCGAACTCACTGAGTTCAGCATTAGCTACTAGCCGAGAGCAGCCATTACGGCTTAGGCTCTGGCGGACTTCCTAGCCGAGTGTTCTTACCAGGAACGCTAGACGAGGAAAAGGAAATCTAGACTATTTTCATGGATGTATTCTCCACCGTAAATGGTTCGGGAGAAGGAGTAGTCATGACCTCGCCCGAAGACAAGTCCTTTGAGTATGCACTGAAATCCTCATTCAAAGCTTCGAACAACAAAGCTGAATACGAAGCAGCATCGCAGGCTTAGAGATGTGCATATCATTGGAAGCCGAGCATGTCTGTCTAAAGACAGATTCTCAACTCGTTGCAAATCAGGTCCGAGGCGAATATGAGGCCAAGGAGCCCTCAACGATAGTTTATCTCGCAAAGATCAAAACAATTATTGCGAAGCTGAAAACTTTTGAAGTTGAGCTTATCTCAAGGGGTCAGAACACACAAGCTGATGCACACTCTTAACTTGCAAGTTCAACTCTAACTGAGCTAAATCAATATGTATATCTAGAGGTGCACCAATAAGAAAGTGTGGGCGAAGCGCCTGAGGTTTGCTGCGTCACACACGAGCCAAGCTGGATGGACCCCATCCTAGCTTACAAGCTTTGGGGAAAAGTTCCTGAAGACAGGAACTTAGCCTCCAAACTGAAGATTATTAGCTCAAGGTTCATCGTCTTTAGAAGAGAGTTGTTGAAAAAATCCTTCTCAGCCCCACTACTAAAATGCGTCGGACCAACAGACGCTAACTACATCCTTCATGAGATCCACCTCGGCATCTGTGGAAACCACATCAGGGGGAGAGCTTTAGCGCACAAGGCATTGAAGGCAGGGTATTATTGGCCCACCATGATCTCAGACGCTAAGGAGATGGTAAAAAAAAAAAGCGAGAAATGTCATAAATTTGCGGTAGTCATCCATCTGCCAGCCCGAGATCTTTAGCATATCCTGAATCTACTCGCCCAATGGGGGTTAGATATCTTGGGACCCTTTCTTGATGCTCCGTACCAAAAAATATGGTTGATAGTCGGTATTGACTATTTCAGCAAATGGATTGAGGCTGAAGCAACCTCTAACATCATAGAGCAAACCATCAGGAAATTTATCTGGCTGAACATAATCACTCGCTTCGAAATTCCGAAGGTTTTGTCTTTGACCATGGAAGGCAATTTGACAATTTGTCGCTGAAGCGATACACAGATCAGTTCCGCATTAAGTTGGCATACTTGGCAATGTGTCATCCGTAGGGCAATGGTCAAGCCGAAGCTACAAACAAGCAAATCCTCAATTCTCTCAAGAAGAGGGTTAAAGATCAAAAGTCTAAGTGGATAGAGGAATTCCTAGGAACCCTCTGGTCACTTCGGATTACTGAAAAAAGAGGCTACGGGGCATTGACCTTTTGAGTTGTTTTATGGATCCGAAGCCGTCCTTCCAATGGAAATTGGCACAGAGAGTTTACGCGTGAATCTGTTCTTAGCCGAGGAAAATGAACAACTCATAAAGAAATCCCTCGATTTTCTTGACGAGGTTAGAAACTCGGCACGAGAAAGAATGGCTGCATATAAGCGAAGGATCAACAAATTTTACCATCGATGAGTTCATGCAAGACTTCTCAAAATTGGTGATCTTGTTCTTCAGAATGCTGCAGCTGTGCAAAAAGGACGCATTCATGGGAAACTCTCAGCAACTTGGGAGGACCCTTATGAAATTTATGATGAACTTCAGCGTGGAACATACCGACTTCGGTAGTTGGATGGAACTGAGCTGATCACTAGAATGCTGATGTACTTAAGAAATATCATGTGTAAACCTTCCGGGGCAGAACAATCCATGTAAGTGCATCTATTTGATTAATGAAAGGCCCTTGAGCCACCACTTTCATCAAATTTACAAGTTTCCATTTTCTATCTTCTAATAATTTTTAGAAAAGAAAGGTTTCACCTCGCCATTGTCCGAAACATAGCCAAGCAGAGGTGTTATACTTTGGATTGTCGCTAAATCAGCCTAATAGGGAACAATGACTTCACCACCGAAGTATATCAATTTCAAGGTATTGTACTTCAGATGAGTCAATAATTCCTTGCGGCAAAGAGGCCATGGATGAATCTAAAGTATAGCCAAAGGCTGCAGAGGAGTTACATCCGAATCATTGCCAGAATGACAGCCTTGTGTTTCGAATAGCCATTCCCTCGGATAAAATTCTAAGGATCGAGAGAATATTGCTCTCGGAGTCTATGACTTTTGAGCAGCAAACTCATATATTCTTCATAAAATATAGAAGAGAAAAGAAAAGAGTAGGAACATCAAAAAATTTATAAATTTTGCTAACGCAAAGCCTCGTCCGCACCAAGATTTCAAAGCAAACACCTTAGGAACCTGAAGATTACAACTTCAGATTCTTGGGGGTAAGAGATACTCAACTGTGATAAAATTCAAGATCTAAGAAAAGGGCAGGAGCACTAAGTAAAGAGAGCAAGGCCGCCAAAAGAAAAGCATTCATAGAAATTCAAATATGCTCGGATCTCCGAGCTGCATCAAAGTTAAAAGTTTTAAAGCAAACACAAGAAAAATTCTATATCGACAGCTGCCCACAAGTGGAAAAATACAGCACAAAACTAATTACAACTACTGAAAGAAAAAATAAATTAGATTTTGTAAAATCGAGGCAAGATGAAGCAAAAGGTTAAGGCAAAAACAGACGCAACAAACATAACAATTAAGCACAAGTTGATCCGCAAGATTCTGACAATGACTACCCGAATTCCTATGCTTCAGCATTACCAGGATCAGGCTAAGCAGTTGTGCTTGGGCTCTTAGATGCTTCAGCACTAGCTGAACAGGAGGCAGGCTGAGTAAGAGTCATTTCAAACTCTCTCTTCTTGGCTTCTTCTCTTTCCCTTTCTTCAGCTTCCTTCTCTGCTCGAGCTTTGGCTTCAACCTGACGAGCCAGAAAAGCAGTCTCAGTAGGATGGGCCATATGCAGATGCGAGTCATTAGGATCCATGGACCATTCCTCAGCTTCGTCCCAATTAATGGTGGGATTAGCATGGAAAGCAAAGCGCCGAGCTTTTTGGAAGTCGTTGTCAAAACCCTCGTCATATTCATCTTGGGTGTAGATTTTGACTTCTAACAACTTCCGGGCAGCCTCAAGGTCAGCTTGAGTCTTGGCAGCCCCTTTGTTCCCAGCCTTCAGCTGGCTTCGGACATCATTCAGCTCATCTTTGGCTTGGAAAAGCTCGGCATCTTTGGCTTCTAGATTAAGCTTTGCCTCATAAAGCTCCACGTTATGAGCTTCTAGCTCATTCCTATATCGCAGAATCTTGGCCTCAAGCTCAGACTGCCTTTTCTTAGCTTTGGCTTCGGCCTGAGCAACTTTCTCTTTGAAGTCCTCGACCATCAAACGCTGAGTCTCAACCTCCTACTGCACCCTCTATTTAATACGGGCCTTAAAGTTGGGAATGTCTTCAACCTCGTACTCTTGGATCAGCTCATGACCCTCGTCTACACAAGGGAAGACGGTCTGCTCTAAATCCTGACAAAAGGTCCAAAAATTGGCAATCATGGTGTCCAGATCAGCTCTAAGGGCAGTGGCCGCATCTTCGGTATCAAGCCTCTTCAGTTCAGTAATCTTTGCTCGACATGCAGCTTCCTGAGCCTTACCTGCCTTGGATTTCAGCTCATCGTTCATCTCCATAGCCAAGAAGTGGTTATGAACGACCTGCCAAGTTGAAGAGCAACAATTAGCCGAAGTAAAAAAAGATAAAAATAAAATAAAATAAAAAATAAAAAAATAAAATTAAAAATTAAACTTAAGTGAAAAAGCTTAAGTGCCGAAAGATTTACCTACATCAGCAGCCTCTAATTTTCAACAAAGGGATCCGGGACCTTAACAAGTGGTTCAGATGCGCCAGCAAAAGCTCCAATGGTCCAAGCCCTGGCTCTCTCTAGCTCAGACATGCTATAGAGGTTCCCGAAGTATTCCATGGCCAAGCTACGCCGGAACTCGAAGACGTTCCTGGAATAGTCGAGAACAAGCACCAAAGGGGCAAAACCGAATCCCATCTCCGTAGATTGAAACGTCATGAAGGATTCAGTAGCCGAAGTGGAGGGCATATTAGCATTCTTGGCCTCCTCGGCTTTCTTTCCCCCTTCGGCCTCCTTTAGACCATCAGCATCCAGACCCTTGAGGCCTTCATTCAAAGTTGGCACTTCCTCGTCCTCAAGGTGGACAAGCATTGCATCAGCTTCCCTCTGAACCTTGTCGCTAAAAGGCTCGGCCACGTGCCGAGGAGAGGGGGAGGAGCCAAACTAGAAATTTCAACCTCTTGAGTCTTAGGTGGAGATTTCGGCAGAACCTCATCCTCCACAAATGCCTCAGGAGGAGAAGTCTTTATCAAATTATCTTCTTCGGCACGAACCTCAGGAGGGAGATGAGTCTTCTCTTTCCTTTCCTTTTGCTTGTCCTCCTCAAGCTGAGGTTTCTTGGTAGGAACAAGGGCAGGTTGAAACTGCCCGGGATTAAAAACAACCCTTCTTCTCTTCGGGCCGGACATCTCTTCGTCTGAAGATTCTTCTGAAGAGGATTCTTCTTCAGCCGGCTCTTCTCTATTTCCTTCTTCTTTATCACACTGTAGCAGAAGGAATAGGGGGGCAAAGAATGGTATGAGCACTAAGTAAAAAAAAAAAAGAAAAAAAAACTCGAAAAAGAAAGGCGCCATCAAGACAAGTCTGGAAGGCTCACTTAAGTCCTCAACAGGCATTCGTCTTCGGCCGCCCCATCCTCTTCTTCAGCTTTCTCCTCTTCTGTCTGAGGATCAGCAGCACATGTAGAAGGTTCAGCACCGCTCCCAGAAACCTCACCGGCCCTGGATACTCTAGCTGCAAGAGCCTCCGCACCAGCAACAGCCTGTTCTGCGGGGCTTAGAAAAAAAAGGGGGTCATGTTTCTTCCACCACACCTTCTACGCCTTGTACTCAGCGACGCTGACTATCTGAAGCTTAGTTTTGCATAGAGAAGGGGTCGGTCTGATGACTTAGTTATATCGGGAGCGTTCTTCGTCACCTGCCTTGCAGCGTTGATCCCGAGTCGATTGTAGTTAATTCCAGAATTTCCCTCGTGTAGCTTAAAAGTCGAAAATCAAGGGTTAGTCAGCACGATGAAAGCAAACAATAAAAGAAAAAAGCAAAGGCCTTCGGTCCTTGCCGAACTCCTTACCCCCTTGGTATTTTCGGCTGAAGCCGACGACAACAAGCATCTTCTCCTGGAAGATGTAGTGGTAGCAAGGCAGCCAAGTTGTGGGCACTTGGGATGTTCGACCCGTGCCCCCTGGATTCCTCTTTTTGCCGAAGAGAGTCAACAACTCCTTTTCATGATCATCGAACTCGTCAGGTCCGATAATCCTCATCTGGGGATCAGGCTCGCTCAAGTACCTCGGCCCTCCAAAATAGTTCGGATGGTTCTCTTCCGAAGGCGCCCGAACCCAAATCCATTAGCCCCGTCAATCCTTGCCCGAAGTATCATTCGGCCAAATGGTGAGATGCCCCCTATGGGTCTCAATCCGCCACCAACCAGTGCCATGATGTTCGTCTGATTGTTGGTTCGACACCAGTTTGTGGAGTTTCCGAAAAACGTGGAGGCTCGACGCAAAACCATAAATGAGGCACACCAAGAGGAACGTCATCATCCTTCGGATGCTGGCGAGGGTTAATTGGCACAACGAGATGTTGTACCCGTTCAGCACTTCAACAACAAAGGAGTGCGGAGGGAACCGAAGCCCAAATTGCAGCTGCCGAGTATACACCCCGATGTACCCAGGGAGAGGACGGTGAATCCTACATTGAGCCGTGGCCATTCAGCACCAATATCCATATGCCTCCATTATGCCGTAAAAAATTTCAATTTGCTTGGCAAAGCGGTAGAGGGGACTCTCGTCCACCCACCAGTCATAAGGAAGGGTGGTCATCAACCCTAAATTCTCGGGGACGTTGCCCCACTCCCTTGCTCCAGGGGGCAAATCCCAAGGTCCGGGTGCCCAGTTCTCGCCTTGGCCGGAGGTGCTAGCCTCCCCCAAATCTCGGGGAGGCACAAATGACAACGGCATCGCAGGAATCGCGGCTCTGCTGGAAGAAGCTGTTGTCCCAACCCTGGGACGAGGGTTGCGGCCGCTCAAAGGCGGCATCTTCTCCAGCGGACGATTGCGTCGCGGAATCAGCTGAGGAACTTCGTCATCCTCATCGACCTCCATAGGTATCTTTCCTCGGTCTCGAGCCATTCTTATTAGTAGAAGTTCGAAAAATCGAGAAAAAGGTGGGTGCTCTAAAAATCAAAGAAAACCGAAGAGATTTCGAAGAAATTTACCTTTATTAGGAGCGGAATTTTCCGATCTACACGTTCGGAGCAACGGATTTTGGTTTCAGGTTTTGGATTGCTAAGAATAAGCGGAAAATGGAAAGCGGGTTAACAGTGGTGATTAGCGAAGAACGGAAGTGAATTAACAAAGTAATGAGGAGAGAAAGTGGGACGAGTGGCTTAAAAACTTGCCGGAAGTGGAATTTTGGGAGTCCACGCCACGAAAACTCCCACTAACTCCACTTCAATCCAACCGTTAAACACCTCCCCAATTAACTACCCACTAAACTTTCTAACTTCCCTAATTACTCTATAAATAACCGTTATTGCCTCAATAACTACCCAAATTCAAACTTTAATTAAATCGTTTACTTCTCTCCATTTTGCAAGTCAAAACCCGACCCGTCATGCTTCCGAATCAGGTCTAGGGGGCAAGTTGTTTGGGTCCAATTTACTTTAATTGGGCCGTTCCACAAATGTTTTAATTACAAAGCCCAAGGCTAAGGTTCAAATCTCCAAACCATGTCAAGTCAGTTAAGGCCCGGTTAATGTGGTAAGCCCACTTGATTCACGGCCCACTTATCCATTGAGAAAAGGTATAAAAGCCTTCAAGCTTCTCTCTTTACATTCATTCACATTAAGCCTCAAGCAATTAATACTCTTGCATAGCTTTCTCTCTCTAAACACTGTATTGACTTCGGCATCGGAAGGGCCTTCCTCGGCACAACCCCCGAGGCTAGTTTACGTGTTTTTGATGTGCAAGAAATCCTAGGCCCAGTCATCACATGGACCGAGGTCAGTCTTCAGCCCACATAAAAGGACATTGTCGAAGGTCCCATTGTTTCTACCCGAAACAATAATTTAATTGAAAGACTTAGGAAAAAATTATACAATAAAAAAATACTTCTTACTACATTATTGTTAGACCTAAACCCGAGCTACAACGCTTACTTAACAAAATAAATAAAATATAAAAAAAGATTTAAAGATCTCGTTGGTTGAAGAAAAAAAGTTTCGTTAAGTGTATTTTTTTTTCATCTAATTTTTAATTTTTAACTTTTATTGTTACTAATATATATGCTTGAAAAAATTGAATAGGGAGTAATTAATTTTTAAAATTACCACCAGCATCATGCACATATGAGGCAAGTAAACCTATTTGACGAAGAGAGAGATAGAGTGCAAACATGTGCAAATAAAGAAAATATTGTAATAATTGTATAACATATCATAAAATTGTAATTGTTACAATATTAGTAGAACAAAGGAAGTCTTCTGAATTATTTATTATTTCATATTAAATTGGTCAATTTAAGGTGTAATATTAAAACACCAAAACTTAAGAAACAAATGTTGTAGAATTTTCGTTTGCTTGTAATTTTAGGTGAGTACCAGTTGGATTAAACAAGTTGGTTAAAGTAAATTTGGTCCAAGTTGATCATTTAATGCTGGATTCAATCAAATTTTAGCGCGTGCTTCTTGAAGATGCGTGTTAGGATTAAGCTCTTTGCATAGACATTTAAGCAAGATAAAAGGAAGGAAAAAAATCACATCTTCATCATTTGTATTTCTTGCAAAAAATCACATCTTCATCATTTGTATTTCTTGCAATTTGAAAATTCACTTTAATATTCCACAAATATTCTTTTTTTTGGTTGTCTTCTTCCTATCACTGTAAACTTTTGATCCAAGCATGAATTCTTCTTTTTTGAAGCCAAGAGCAATACTTCTAATTCTGTATAAATACATAATACGAAGTATTTGACAAATCATATCATACCATATCACTAATAAATAAAGTTGATCTCGCAGCCGGGCCACGAGACAGCGACACTTGGAATTTTTTAAACTTCGTATAACTTGGTTTTATTTTTATCATAAAATTAGTTTTATAAAATTCTTTAAAATGAGATCCATTTATAATATATTTAATTTAGTTAAAAAAATAGAGGATCAGTAAAAATAATATTGGTTTGGTAAAAATACTTTCATTTCAGTAAAAATAATTTAAGTTCAATAACAATAATTTTAAGTCAATAATAACATAAA